TGTCTGTGTGTGTCTGTCTGTGTCTGTGTGTGTCTGTGTGTGTCTGTGTGTGTCTGTGTGTGTCTGTGAGTGTCTGTGTGTGGGTGTGGGTGTGGGTGTGGGTCGGGTCTGGGTCTGGGTCTGGGTATGGGTCTGGGTTGGGGTGGGGGTGGTGGGTGGGGATGGGTGGGTGGGTGGGTGGTTGTGCATGCAGAAGCAAACTGCTCTCTGTCCAAATCTCCTGCTTGGGAAGCAACCAGCTCGGAGTTCGTGGACTCCAAGTCCTCGCGCTTCTTCTGAAGGCAATGACGCAACCTGCGTAACAGTCTTCATTTTCGTGAAACCCTCCCACTCTTCTTCCTATGCAGCAGCTGGCACTATTGCCTGGATGAGTTTTCAACATATGCTCAGTACTGAGGGCGATGCCGCCGCAAAAAGGTTTCATCCAGATGGAACTCCTGCAGAAGGTCAGGTTGCACAGAGCGGACTTTCTTCTAATTGTTTTCTCACACACACACGTATATGTATCTACGCATGTATGTAGGTATGTCATGCATTGTTCTGCTATGTTGTTATGTCACGCTATGTTGTGTTATGAGATGCGCAGCGCATGGGGGACTGTTGAGATCCTCCGGTCACACGGGACCCCCATTTGTTCTGGGGCTGTGAGGAGATCGTGAAAACGTTGTACAGGTTCACATCAATAATTACTACATGAGTACGTTTAAAGAAGAGTTGATGATCCTCTGTGCGTGAATGGACGGCTGCACGAATTTGTTTGCTCATGCCCTGTTGTTGTTGTTGTTGTTCCCCGAACGTCACAGTTGCCATCAACATTGTAGAGGGTATGACGGCGCAGGGCAGGTTGCAACAAGGTAAAAAGAGATCAGAAATCTGTAAGGGTGTATGCTAAAGCCTGATGATCCTATCTCTCCGTCTCTTCGTCTCTCTGTCTCTCTGTCTTTCGCAACCCCTTTCCTCGTGCTCCAGGCGCTCCCCATATGTTATGGGGACCAGTCTCCGAAAAGGCTACCAGGGCAGATTCGTCTCAATAGCTAGCTCAAGCAACTGGCAAAAGGAAACTCCCCGCAAAGCAACAAGGCCCCGATATTTGGACATGCCAGTCGCTGTCGAAAGTGCAAGGCCCTCAGGGAACATCACAGGCGTTGCAGTTCCTCATACCTTATTACCAAAAAACAACAGGGTACACAAACTCAGCAACATCAGCCAAACCAGTCATTATGTTCCCTCATCGGGCGTCTGTGTCCGGATGACTGCTGGCAATTGTGGTTAAATTCTCCTACACCAGCGAGCACAGGTACAACACTGCAGTCATCCCAAACTGTGTTATGCCTTGCTGTCGTCAAGACTGACATCTTTGAGCTGGGCACACCCATCGTTAAAGGTGGTAACAGTTTAAACATGTCAGCAAGGGTAGAGCATCCACAAGATAACTTGGATAAGTGGTGCCGGGCTCCAGTTCTCACTGTCTTTATTGCAAAGCACTGGCTGCATTAGGGGAGGGCGAAATGGATTAAGACGAGGGAGGGTTGCAAAGACCAGGCTCTCCGACTAGGTCTCTCTCACTCAGCTCAGTATTGCTCGTCGTGCCAACTCAGTCGTCGGAGAAAGCTGCATGGAGTCGTCGGCGGCGGTGTGAGCTGCGTCCCGGGATGTCCACGCGTCGCATGGGACCGTGTCTATCTCATCTTCTGGATCGTCGCAGGCGGTGTCTACGACGCTTTGTGTCCCGGTGGCTTTGCTGAGGGGTTTTCCTTTTGCTGGTTGTCCACTAACTGAATGGGGTGGCCCCGCTCTCCCTCTGTCTCTCGGTGTCTCGGTGTGTCTGTGTCTCTGTGTCTCTGTGTCTCTGTGTCTGTCTCTGTCTCTGTCTCTGTCTCCGTCGGTCGGTCCGTCGGTCCGTCTGTCCGTCTGTCTGTCCGTCTCTGTCTGTCCGTATGTTTGTATGCCTGTATGCACGTACATATGTACGTACATATGTACGTATTCATGCATGTATATGTGCATACAAATATACAGATATACTTCTTGTATACATACATGGCTTGACCGCTTAACCAACTTGTTTCTGTGAATCACAAGGAAGTCAATCTCTCATCTCGCCCATGTCCATCACAGATTCGCTTTGCCGTCCTTAATCACCTTGTCGCGTTCCTCCCTGATCGACTCCTCTGCCATGTCCAAGGAGGCAGGCAGCTTCGCAGAGGGAAGCTGACCAGACAATGCCTCTCACAAAGGGCCAAACGAAGAGTGAAACTGCAATGGCCCTCATGGCCCTCATGTAATGGTTCCTCGGCATGGGCACCGAAGCTCTCGCAGAGTTGGGCGATATGTGAATCTTCAAATGCTTCTCTGGCCTCGTTCAGGTTCCAGGAAAACATGCAGAGGCCATCTGAAGTAAAAGCCAAGATCTGGGCCAATGAGACACTGAAATGGTCATTTTGCACGAGGTCCACATACATCCGGAGGTAAGCAGAAATGCTCGCGGCCTGAAACTTGCCACTTTGGCTGAGCTGAACTGTGGAAAATAATCTGCTGTCCTGGAGAGGTCTCGCGTTCTGTAGCCCCCTCAACCTCAAATTTTGAAAGCAGTGTGCACGAGTTCAGCTGCACAGGAGCTGTGGCAGTCTACACTAATTACCTCGTTGCACCCGATGAACAGAAGATCACGCAATGCCCCAGTGGACTCGATGTACTCGGGAAGGAGTTCCTGCGGCAGACCAACACGAAGTCGAAACCAGATCAATGAGGGCCTGTCATCTAAGCCGCAACATGTCGAAGCCATATCAAGCATGCCCAGCAGAACAATTACACGGAAGTGTACTGAGCTGTACTTATAAGGTGTGCTAGTAGGCTGGCCCGGCATTGCAGGCTATTCGACATCTTGGTCGCACGATAACGGAAACAGGAAATGCTCGCAAATCTTGAGGTTGGAATGCTGTAAACGAGGATGAACACGCCACCCGCAATGTTTTCGGATCATAAGTCATGAGTAAACGTTAATGGTTCTGGCATGGGTGTGGCGCTTGTAAGCTGCGGCTTGTATGGAAAACTTGCGCAAACCCAGGTGATGTTAATCATGACGGCACGCCAGCACTCCTAAGACCCACAAGCTCGTCACCACATCGGTCAGGACCGGAAAAACGTGGCATGCTGCAAGAAACCTACCAGAAACGGAGTGTCGTGCAAACGCGTAAGCCGGGATGTACAGAAAAACCGCAAACCCTGACTAGCACGCCTCGGGGGCTAAACCCGGAACCTTTGAAGTAGCACAAACGACTGTGTTATATTATTGCCCAACAACCCTTCAAACTAGTGTCGGACGGTGAGATTGCAAAACTCAACGGAAAGTCTGAAACCTAAAATTCTCCTTTTCGCCGTACTGGTGGCGCAGTCCGAAATCCTAAATGGATTACTTGGTAGCGCTGGCGGAGTGACGGATGGAGAAACCTGAGCGCTTAACGGCGGGTCTATGTGGATATAGCCAACAAGAGGTCTGACATGGCGCACCCATAATGTGAAGGATAAATAACCACGAATCGAATTTTTGCAGATGGTGAAACCACAACACGTGCGCAATGCCGGGCTGAAAGGGCTAAACCCGAAACAAAAACATTGCAACAGGCGCCACCCGGAGCCCGAAGAATAGTTCGAACTAGCCAGACCCGAAACCCGAAAAAAGGGACCGATAACAACAGCGAACTCAGGCATCCCGACAAGGCTTTGGGCGCACCTCTCCCTGGGAAGTTTGGCAATCAGAGACGTGGACATTCGCGCTTGATTTTTGCTTGATCCCAGTCCGATTGAATCCGAAACCATGCAGCACTTGGAGATGCGTGGCATGCCGAAACCAGATACCCTAAATGTCGTGCAACAGACAAACCCGACAGCATAAGAAAGGGTGGATTGAGAAAACCGCAAACCAAACCATGAGCAAGTCTCGGGTGGCCAAATTCGAAACCCTAAAAGGGTCATTGGATGGCGAATCCCCCTGTTGGAGCGCGTGCACACTGACACAACCCTAGCCCGAAAAGGAGTGTCGGATGCTGACACCGAGAAAGCTAGTCTGAGAAATGAGCAGCAGCCGTGCAACAACAAAGTGTTGGGCGGTGAAACGCTCAACCCTCACAGAATCTTAAAGCAGTGCAACCATGGGCGGTAAAAGCGAAAACCGAAATGGTGAAGGCGAAACCAAAAATCCTGACAAAGGGTGCTAAATGGCCAAAGCTGATACCCAAAAGTGGAATAGAAACTGGCGCAGAATGGCCGGAAACCGAAACCCCAAAAGGGATGTAAAGTCGCGCTTGGCGGCGTGCCGGCGGGGAAATCTGAGCGCCTACAAGCACGTTTATGTGGCAATAAGCGACAAGAGTCTTACATGATGCACTCGTACTGTATAAAGGATATCTTAATCCCAAAACACACGCGCCGGATAAAACAACGCCGAACCGTAGAGAAGTGTCGGGTTTTGTCGCATGGCGAAAACGCACGACCGCTAAGCCTGCAGGCTTCGACACAGGAAACCCCAACAGTAAATAGCCACACCCGAAACCCGAAAACTGACGAAACCGAGCTCAAGAAACTCGAACCCCTATCACAAGTCGCTCTCCCACGAAGTTTCGGAAAACTTGGGAATTTGTTCTTCATACTTTCTTGACGCAAGCGTTTGAACCGCAAAACGAAGCACCGGAAAAGGGCTGCATGCCAAAACCAGCTACGCAACGCGAAGTCGCGAAACCCGAAACCCTGGCAAGGGCACAGTGGTGAAAAGCGCAACCTTTGAAGCAGCCCAAAAAGGTGCAACCATAGGCGCTGCAAGAAACCCAGCATTGTAATAAAAAAATTAAGTTGCGAAACCCGAAACGTTGACAAGGGGCGCTGGATGGCCAGGCTTGAAAGCTGCAAACGAAACGGAAACTGGTGGCGCAACCCGAAACTCCAAATCGAGTGTAAGGTAACTATGGCGCTTGGCAGAGTGGTATCGGATGATAAAACCGCAGGACCTGTGCAAGTGGCAGTGCCGGCTGGAGGCACTTCAACCCTGTTACAACAACGCTACAGGCAGAGACGCCCGAGATCTGAAGCGTAGCATGATAAAGCCAAACCCGAAACCCGAAAAAGAACATGACCGATGACGATAGTGAACTCAAGAAACTCGCATCCCTATAGAATCCTATAGCAAGCAGCTTCTGGGCGGTGAATCGCGCAACCTTCAGAGGAGCCGAAATGGTGCATGCATGGGCACCGCACCGAAAATAAATGCAGGACGGTGAAAGCGCTCGATTGGGAAAACTGGGTGGAGAAACTTGGGCGCACAAAAACAAGCTTATTATGTGCCAATATCCGCCGACCCCCTTGGTGGGCGGCGCCAGTGTTTTCCCGAGAGGTTTTTTCGTCACCAGCCCCACCACCCTCACCGCCCCCACCAGCTTGCGGCCACCCACACCGCCTCCACCACCCACACCGCCCCCACCGGCCGCTGCCCCCTGCTCCCCACCGTTCCTAGCATTCCTCCACTTTCTGAGGTGTTTAGAAATAGAAAGTATTTAAAGGCTGCCAATGCGTGCCCGGACCCCCCGCGCCCTTACCGTTCTCACCGCCCCCACCACCAACACCGCCCTCACCACCCCCACCACCCACACCGCCTTCACCAGCTTGCGGCCACCCACACCGCCGCCACCACCCACACCGCCCGTATTGGCCGCTGTTTCGTTCCCCCTTTTGCCCTGACAAACCCCACCACCCTCACCGTCCCCACCACTCTGCTGCCCTCCCCACTCACACCGTTCCTAGCATTCCTCCACTTTCTTAGGTGTTTAGAAAGTATTTAAAGGCTGCCAATGCGTGCCCGGACCCCCCGCGCCCTCACCGCCCTCACCGCCCACACCGCCCTCACCACCCCCACCACCCACACCGCCCCCACCAGCTTGCGGCCACCCACACCGCCCCCACCTCCACCACCCACACCGCCCCCACCTGCCGCTGCCCCGTGCTCCCACCGCCTCGATATATATATATATATACATATATATATAATATGTGTGCATGTATGTATGATTATGTATATGTATCTATCTATCTATCTATCTATCTATCTATCTATATATATATCGTATATATATATATATATCGTATATATATATATATCGTGTATATATATATATCGTATATTATATATATATACATATAGAAGCTTGTTCCCCTTTGGGGGTCGGCGGCACTGGCGGCAGCCATTAAATATCCGACAACAGTCTTACAGGGTACGGGCGGGGCCCTGGCGCGGTCAAGGACATCCTAAACGGTCCTAAACTCCAAACTCTAAACTCCAAACCTAAAAGCGAGCGCCGGATAAGCCTGAACCTTGAACCCTGAAAAATGTCGGATGTTGTCGGATGGTGAAACCACATGACCAGTGCAAGTGGTAATGCCGGCTGGAGACACCTAAACCCCAAACAAGAAGGTTGCAGGCGGCGACAACCCAAACCCGAAGAGTAGCCTGAAATAGCTAAACCCGAAACCCGAAAAATGTACATGCCCGATAACAATAGTGAACTCAAGAAACTCGAATCCCCATAGACAAGCTTTTGGACGCACCTCTCCCTCGATTTGCGTGATCCAACTCCGTCTGCTGCTGGAGTGTGTACACCGACACAACCCAAGCCCGAAAAGGAGTGTCGGATGGTGACACTGAGAAATCTAAATTGGGCCGTGCGGGGAAGTGAGCAGCCTTACACAAAGTGTTGAGCAGTGAAATGCTCAACCCTCACAGAAGCCTAAGACGGTGCAACCATGGGCGCGAAAAGCGGAAACCTAACAGGTGAAGATGAAACCCAAAACCCTGACAAGGGGTGATAAATGGCCAAATCTGACACCCAGAAGTTCAATGCCGGGCGGGAAATCTGAGCGCCTAAAAGCACGTTTATGTGGCAATGGGCGACAGGAGTCTTACATGATGCACTCGTGCTGTATGAAGGATTCTTAAACCCAAAATACAAGCGCCGGATAAAGCAGCGCTGAACCTTCAAAGAAGTGTCGTCGGATGGCAAAACCGCAAGACCCATAAACCCTAAACTAAATAGGGGGCAGGCGCTGACACCCGAAACCTCAACAGTAAATGGCCACATCCGAAACCCCAAAACAAGCCGGTAGGATCCCGAACTTATCAGAAGAGTATTGAACATCGCTCTCCCACGAAGTTTGGCAATCACAAAAATCAGAAGAGTGTTGAGCATCGCTCTCTCACGAAGTTTGGCAATCGAAAAATTTGGGCATTCGTGCGTCATACGCTCTTCTTGATGCCAGTCCGTGTGAACCCGAAAACCAAGCACCGGAAAAGCCAGGCATGCCAAAACCAGCTACGCAACGCGAAGTGGCGAAACCCGAAACTCTGACAAGGGCACACAACGGTGAAAGGCGCACACCTCACAGCAGCCCCCAAACGTGCAATCATGGTCGCTGAAAG